TCGATGGCTGGTATGACTGAGCCGAAGAACTTCTTGGGTCAGCTGTGCCATCAAGGATGACCCGCGATCTGTAATCAGCACTTCAGGTGAGCCGTGTCGAAGGAGAATGGACTCGACGAAAAATTTAGCGACTTCCACGGCTGTTCCCGATGGCAGGGCTTTTGTCTCGGCGTGTCGTGTAAGATAATCGGTCGCGACGATAATCCACCGATTTCCTTGCGTCGATGTTGGGAACGGTCCAAGTAAATCCATTCCGACCTGCTGGAAAGCCCTAGTCGGGGCAGGTATCGGCTGCAGGAGTCCTGCTGGCTTCGTCGGAGGCCTCTTACGTCGTTGGCACTCATGGCACGACCTTGTGTACATATGGACTGTTTTCGGGAGTCTCGGCCAGTAGTACTTGCACGAATCCGGGCGAGCGTCCGGCTGTAGCCAACGTGTCCAGCCGTCGGGTCGTCGTTGCATGCTTGAAAGACTTCTTCTCGCAGTCTGGCCGGAACAATCAGCAGCCAGGCAGGGTTGCTCGTTCCGAAGTTCTCCTTGAAGAGCACGCCTCGCCGTAGAACGAAGCTCGACATGTCTCGGGCCAAGACTTGCGGAACTGAACTTCCTTGGCCTTCAAGGTGTTCGATCACGGCGCGAAGTACCGGGTCGTCTCGTTGAAGTGCTCGAATGTCGGCATCTGTCACTGCGCCGAGAAAACGGGCGTCATCGTCGTCGTCAGTGCTTTCGGGAGGAGATTCGCCTGAGGCCCTAGACAAACTGTCGGCGTCGTTATGCTTGCGGCCAGACTCATGCACAATGGTCACGTCGAATTCTTGCAGTCGCAGACTCCAGCGAGCGAGGCGTCCTGACGGGTCCTTGAGGTTGGCGAGCCAACAGGGAGCGTGGTGGTCCGTGTCAACGCGAAACGGGATCCCGTATAGGTACGGGCGGAACTTGGTTAACGCCCAGATGACTGCGGGACATTCCTTGTTGGTCGTAGAGTAATTTTTCTCTGCCTTGGACAGTGCCCGGCTTGCGTAAGCGATCACCCTCTCTGCTCCGTCTTGTCTTTGGACGAGGACCGCGCCGAGTCCGGCGTTGCTGGTATCCGTGTGAACTTCCGTTTCCGCTGATGGATCGAAGTGTCCGAGGATAGGGGGCGACTGGAGTCTTTCCTTCAGTTCGTTGAACGCTTGTTCTTGTTCCTCTCCCCAATGGAAGTTCACGTCGTCCTTGGTCAGATGCGTGAGCGGTGCAGAAATCTTAGCGAAATAGCGAACGAAACGTCTGTAGTAAGCGCACAGTCCAAGAAATCTTCTTACGGCTTTCTTGTCTGATGGCTTCGGTAATTCGGCGACAGCGGATGTCTTGGCAGGATCAGGGCTTACACCCTGAGCACTCACGACATGGCCCAGGAATTTGAGTTCGCCGTAAGCGAACCGACATTTTGACGGCTTTAGTGTCATTCCAGCATTCTGGATAGCCTGTAGCACGGCTCGCAAACGTCTCAGGTGCTCGTCGAAGTCGCTTGCGAATACCACGACGTCGTTGAGATAGACGAGGCAGCTTTGCCATTTCAAGCCGGAAAGAACGGTGTCCATTACACGCTGGAACGTCGCCGGTGCTGTGCACAGTCCGAACGGCATCACTTTAAATTCGTACAGTCCGTCCGGCGTAACGAATGCAGACTTCTCACGATCCCGTTCGTCGTCCTCGATCTGCCAGTACCCACTCTTCAGGTCCATTGACGAAAAGTATCGGGCATGGCGCAGCCGGTCCTGAGTGTCGTCGATACGTGGCAGCGGGTAGACGTCCTTTTTGATTGCAGCGCTTAGTCGGCGAGAGTCCACGCAGAACCGAAGAGTCCCATCTTTCTTCTTCACCAGGACTACCGGTGAAGCCCACGGACTGCTTGAGGGCTAGACAATATCGTCATCGAGCATTTCTTGGACCTGCTTCTGTATGACTTCGCTTTCTTTGACAGAGACACGGTACGGCGACCGATGGACAGGAAGCGCGTTGTCTTCAGTGACAATTCGGTGTTTCGCGACGGTCGTTTGGCGTACCTTTGACGACGTGCAGAAACACTCATTGAACTCGGCGAGAAGGTCACTGAGTTGTCGTCGTTGTGGGGTAGGCAGGGTTTGGTCGATGTCAAACTGCGAAGGCGGCGTTGTCTTGGTTTGCCACGAAGAGAGGTCTTCTGATATTCCGGCGATTGCGGCTGAGCCCGGGAGTTCCTCGGCGTGACCCACGGCGGTGCCTTTCGTAAGGTGCTGGGCCTCCTGTCGGAAGTTCGTTACGAGTGCGATAGTGTGTCCGTCTTGCAGCTCCGCGACGCCTCTTGTGATGCCGATCCCTCTTCCTAGAGGAAACTGGAGGCTTCCTTCGAGCACAACGTCGCCGCAGAAAGTCTCATCGACCCCGACGGGTACGAAAACACTTGACCGCGGCGGTAGGTTCACGTGGTTTGCGAGGACTCGTACCGCGGGTGACGTCGCTTTGGGGTCCTCCTGTGATGGAGCAGGTTTTCGAAGCGTCAGCCGGTTTGCTCCGAGGTCGATGACGGCGCCATACGTGCAGAGAAAGTCCATTCCGAGGATAACGTCCCTCGAACAGTCTTGCAGAACGACGAACTTGACAGGGCACGTCTCACCGTGGATCTCGACGCGAGCAGTGCATCTCCCGACCGGTGTGATGAGGTGCCCTCCGGCGGTTGGTATTTGAAGTCCATCCCACGGCGTCGTGACTTTTCGAAGGCGGCGGGAGAGCCTCCCACTCAAGACTGAATAGTCTGCTCCGGTGTCCACGAGCGCTGATGCGTCGTGGCCGCCGATGACGACGTTTAGGTTATTGGACACCGTTGCAAGGGCCTCGTTTCGATCTCTGGTAGCGTTCGAGTGGGGGCCCTCCGACGTTCGTGGAGGATCTTGGCGTCGGTCGTCTTCGGCAACTCCACCTCCAGGGGTTGCCGCGCCTAGTTTCCCTGGCGAGGAGCGAAGGGTGACAGGCTTTCACGTCGGGGTCGGCGCATCGGCGAAGCTGGACGTCGTGGCGACGGCGATCAGAACTCTCTGCGGGACGCAGGCTCGGGGGACTGAGGTCGTCGCAGGTACTCGTCTATCTCCCGAGGTCGTTCACCATAGCGGGGCCGCGGGTCGTTCGGATGGAACCCGCGCACCCCAAGTCGTCGGTATGGGTATCGGCGGTAGGTGTGGTCTGCTTCCCCGCATTGGAAGCTCGGAGGGCGTCGGTCGGGCGTTCGCCACACGTCGGTTTTCCGGGGTGCGCGAGGCTCCGGGCGGGCGTACTGCACCGGGTCGTCGTGGTGTCTGTCGTGCTGCGGCGCAGGAGACTGACGTCGGGGCGGCGCGACATAGGTGCGAGGAGGAGGCGGTGGCCGTCGGGCCACTGCGGCGTAAGTCAACGTGGGCTCCTCGGTGGCTGCCACGACGACGGGAGCCTCTGGTTGGATGGCTCTCTGAACTTCTTCCCGCACGACCTCGGCGATGGAGAGCGAGGCCGGGCGTGCGGCAGCGGCAGCAGCTTTTTCAATTCCTCCTGGACGACATCACGGATAATGTCACGGATGCCGGGGAGGGTGGTGCCCAGGTCGAATCCAGATGTCACCTGAGTTGTTACGCCAGAATGTCGTTGGTAGTGCTAGCAGGGCCCGTTCCATATTTGTCGCCTCCGTGACGAACTCGTCGACTGTTGTCGGGGGATTGCGGATGAGACCGCCGAATATCTCGCTTTTGACACCCCTCATCAAGTGGTGCAGCTTCTTCCCCTCGGTAGCCTGAGGATCGGCGCGGACACTCAGGCGGAGAACATCCTCGACGAAGCTGGTGATGCTCTCATTTAGGCCTTGGGTTCTTGCTCGCAGGAGATCTGCCCTCTCATGTCGGTGTTGGCAGGCAAACGTCTTCTTCAGTTCTTGCTTGCACAGCTCCCACGACGTCAAAGAAGCCTCGTGGTTTTCCAGCCAGTGCCTCGCAGTTCCTTCCACCGAAAAGTAAACGTTCTGCAAGCAGTGCTCAGCTGACCACCCGTTATGGCGGGCCACTCGTTCATAATGTTGCAACCAGTCCTCGATGTCCTCGTGGGCTTCTCCGTGGAAAGGCGTCGGAGTTTTGGGTGCGACAGGCAGGTATACGACGGCAGAAGCGGCTGGGTTCTGCGCCTGGTTGGCCATTGTCGTCTTCTTCGGCTTGGGATGGCCCAGGCAGCAAACCGTATTCAGGATCCTCTAACTTGGTTCGGCGGCCGGTCCGAGTTTCAGGTTCCGCGTAGAGTTGTCTTCTCACCGGGCTTGGAATCGGACTGGCACTGCGGGCTCATGGAGGGGAACGCTGCACGGGCATACTGTGCCCAGCACCTCCACCAAAATGTCACGAATGACAAATGATGAGGCGAAGAATAACTAAAGAAACTAAACGTTTAATGAGGCGAACTTGTGCCCAAATAACAGAGCAGAAAAAGGATAGCGTCTCAGGCAGCGAAACAGCAGGATCGAACGCTCAGGCGAGACTGACTCCGGCTTGGCACGCGGAGCAGCTTTTGTACATGGGTGTGCTTCTGGAGCATTCGGCGTAGAAGCTTCGGCGCGTAGAACATTCTAACCTCGAATCAACAAGACGGTTCTTGAATTTACCAGAACATCACATTCTAGTGTCAACAAAAAAATGTGTAGCCGCGGCCGAGACTCGAACTGTGGCCTTCTACGTGAAAGGCAAACGCGATAACCGTTAGGCCACGGGCGCGCTGTATTTTCGGTCAGCTGCGCTCGTGGCAATATGCACGGCTTTTGTTCGCAGGTAGGTGGACCGCCGCGGTAATGTACGAAGTAAAATATAATAAAAGTATAGTTCAAATTTTAAAAGAATACTAAAACACACTTTAAGTGCACTAGTTTTAATAGACGTCTGTACTTAGTGTACTTTATCTAAATACGTCTTGTTAAATTTTTATTAATGGAGTATTTTTTTAAGGAAAACGGTCATGAGAGAAGGACTGACTCGTTCAGATTCAGGAGGTCAGACCATCCATGTATGAAGACTGGCCTTCTGGTCACCCACAGTAGAAGACAGAGGCCGAAAAGGAACGTGGACAGGACTTCGGCATGCCTGCGACAGTAAAGAAAAATTTGCATTAGTAGAATTGCAGGGCAAGGCATGCAGGCAGATGAATCAGTACGAATGAGACTCTACATTAAACCCAACGCTCCCCCTCTCCCGCCCTTTAAAACACAACAACAACACGGATACTGGTTTTAAAAAAAAAAGCAACAACAAAAAGACTACGAGATATGGATTGCGGGTTTGAATCGCATGTCGTTCACAAAAAAAGGTTATTGTAATATGTCTGGTACATGCATCACAAGAATTCAAGTGAGTCCGATCTGAAATTTGTATAGGATGTATTCACTAGCGGTCATAGCTAAGCTCGCTGCTGCTGTCGTGCCACGGGGGAAGAGAGAGAGGGGAAAGCTGCTTTTGTACGAATTTTGAGTGAAAGTTAATCTTCTATAATCTTTTAGAGGGAGAATAGCAACGTCTGGGGAAGGCCTGGGGCATACAAAGGAAAGTCCCGGTGAGAAGGGAATTTCTCCCCCCCCCCCCCCCCCCCCCCCCCCCTTCTTCCCTTGTGATTGCCCGAGAGCTGACGGGAAACTCCTCCCGAGCATGCGCTTTGAGCAGTTACCTCAAATATGGCGTCCAGTGAATACTCTCTATAGGCTACTCCATATAAATGCCTTTTTTCGTGTCTGGCTTAGCTCAAAGACATTATAGACAGATGTGACTTTTGTAGACGAAATGTATGTGCACCTTTCAACGTTTATCAAATGGCAACATTTCCTTTCTAGTTTGAGGGGTCATGAACTTCCAGACTTGAGGCCATCCTAAATCACTGCTGTACGGGCCAGAGAGCGGATCATCTTACTGGTCTCCGCCGACACGCTCGTTCAACTGTCCGTCCCCGCTTTTGTTATGTTACACTCCCGCGGTGCTTCTGAATCGTAACAAAACCGCAGCGGGACTTCAGGCAATGACAAACGTGAGAAGGACTAAGTTGTAGCCGATAGAACAAATAAACACTTGTTTTTGTAACCACGAAAACGGAAGCCCCAATCCCACAATTTGTTCCCTCCGACTATCCGTCCGTGCATTTTGCACTAAATTATGCGGGGAAATTGACGTCTCGTGACCCATGCATCGATTCACTTCTCCGCTAAATTTAGCGGAAAAATTTACGTCTTGTGGCCTAAACACCAATTCAGTTTCCCATCTAAATTTAGCGGAGAAATGGACGTCACGTGACATATACAGCATATCACTTTCTCCGCTAAATATAGCCGGAAAATTGGCGTCAGTTGACCTATACACCAAATTAGTTACGCCTCTAAATTTAACACGTGACACCAAATCCGTTTTGACGTCATGATGGCGCTTAAGACGAGGACAAAAGGAAGACAGACAACACGGAGCGCTACTTCAACTGTTTATTTTTGAACAATAGGGGGGGGGGGGGGGGACATATATACACTCACACCGCTTCACCTCAGCCAATCCCGGGCCTCACCGTCGATCGCAAAAACGCTATCTCTTTGTCTAACAGCTCAACGGAGGCAACGCTGACACATTGTGCTCCAGACTGTTTTATCAGGTCCGCTTCTATTATTTCCCTGAGCGTCTTATCCTTGTGTCTGGCTAGAATCGCGCAGGTGTTGAACAAGGGCCTGCATCCACAATCGTGACAATGAACTGAAAGATGACCGTCACGGTGGTTATTAACATTCAAACTGTGCTCCCGTAACCTATCATTTAGGCATCTGCCTGTTTGCCCGATGTACTTTTTACCGCAGGACAACTGAATCACGTACACGACTCTCTCTGCGCACGTGATTCAGCGTGCGCAGAGGGATCGAGTCGTACACGTGCGTGTACGTGATTCAGTTGTCCTGCGGTAAAAAGTACATCGGGCAAACAGGCAGACGTCTAAATGATAGGTTACGGGAGCACAATTTGAATGTTAATAACCACCATGGCGGTCATCTTTCAGTTCATTGTCACGATTGTGGATGCAGGCCCTTGTTCAACACGTGCGCGATTCTAGCCAGACACAAGGATAAGACGGTCAGGGAAATAATAGAAGCAGACTTGATAAAACAGTCTGGAGCACAATGTGTCAGCGTTGCCTCCATTGACCTGTTAGACAAAGAGATAGCCTTTTTGCGAGCGACGGTGAGGCGCGGGATTGGCTGAAGTAAAGCGGTGTGAGTGTATACATGTCCCCCTCCCCCTATTGTTCCAAAATGAACAGTTGAAGTAGCGTTCCGTGTTGTCTGTCTTCCTTTTGTCCTCGTCTTAAGCGCCATCATGACGTCAAATTCCCAGCACCAACTAGCCCAACAATCTGCATTTACCAAACCCCTCTTCCCCATTTCCTCTCCTCCCTTCTCCCTCCTATGTTATCCTACCCATTTTTCCCCTTTTCCTTCCTCTCACTCCCACTCTATTTCCATATTTCTCCCTCCCTCCTACTGTACCCTTCCTCCCCGCTTCCTCTCCCTGCCCCTTCTTTGGTCATGTTACACCAATTGAGTTTCTCCATTCCTTTCTCCTCCCTTCCCTCTCCCTTCTTCTCTAAATCCTCCCCTCAGCTTCCTACAGTGCCCTCGCCCTCCCTGGTTCCACAAGGGATAAAAAATATTGGGTCTTGTTACATTTCCGGTGATTCGACGACGGAACGGTTGTTGAGGAAACAGAGTCTCGGCTGCTATATACAGACGTGGGCTCCCCCCAAAGCAAAAATAATGATAAAAAGGGTACAACCGAGGGTGCGCAACAACCTTATTAGGATGCCGAAATGTATCCCGATAACACGTGCCACAGAAACGTTACAGACTTCACTGACGCAACGACTGTTAAATGTCTACCAAACAATTGAAACGATTCCTGCTACCACTGCATTCCATGCATTGAAAGTAAAGGTTGCTGCCATTTATTTTTACGAAAAAAGAAAGAAGACATTACGTTGTTACGGGAACAGTAACTTCGTAATTGTGTAACTTGGGAGTTTAAGGGCTACGCAAAGGTATCGATTGAAGCTAGATGTAGCTTAAAAGGGCAATAAGGTGGATTTCGAGATCGTATTTTTATGGCGCGAACTCAATGCACCATCCTAAGTATCCTAAAAAAAAAAAAAAAAAAACGACAATCACGCGTGGCGTTTTTCGGCCTTAAAAACGCCACCAAACACCGCGACACGCTTTTTTTTTTTTTAGATATCTAAGAAAAACGTGTGTGCCGCTGTGTTTGATCGCCTTTTTAAGTGCTAAAAAGGTCACGCGTGATATATATTTTGGGTTTCCTAGAATGCTTATGGTGGCATGGGTTGAGTTCGCGCTAAAAAATATGATCTCAAAACCCACTTTATTGCCCCTTGAGTTGTGCTACGAATTTTGGTCATACTTACGTTCGGGGCATATTTTCAAGCTTCGTCTTTACCTTTTCCTTCACCTCTCTCACGTCCACTCTTAATTGATTTTCACTGCATTGAAAAAACAAAAAACGGATTAATAAAAAAAAAAAAACACTTGTCAAACTTAACAAGAGGAAAACCGATGTTCCTAGTAGAAGTGGATAGCGGCACCGTCAAAACGTCTTGTTCCGGAAAAGACAGTGCCATCGCCGAAACGTCGTCATCAGCTCGTTTCGGATGTCCACGTTTTATTTCCATCAATTTTTGCATTAACGTCTCGTGATGAATTAATATTTCTTTCTTTTTTCAGTACTTTCTGGACAACAGTCGCTTTGAGAAGTTGCGGGACGAGTTAGGAAGACATGTTCAACAATCCCATGGCTGTTATTTTGCTAATACGCTGAGTAATTACGATCCTCAAAAGTTTTGGAGCTATTGGAGGAAAGAGGAAAACAAAACCCGAATTCATGTTGACATTACGGTGGTTGCTGATGACACAGCGATCGCACGTCATTTTATTGGTTACTTTCAGTCTGTATTTTCTGACACTGAAACATGAACCTGAAACCTGTATGTGGTCATTCCTGAACACTGATTTTATATCTAACTCAATGCTATTAAATTAAAAAAGAAATCCTCTTGGTCTTGATAGGTTACAAAATACCTTTTGCGTCGTTTCGTGGAGTGCGTAGTTCACTTTTTAACGGTGATTTTCCGTGCCTCATTTTTGCCCGGTGTTCTGCCGAATGATTGGCTCCTCGCACGAGCTGTGCTGCTGTTCACAAAGGGTGACCGCTTGTCTCTAAGCAGCTACAGGTCAATTTCGCTGACATGTACATACGTCGTCTAAGCTGTTGGAACATGTTATTTCTATCATGATCAGTTACTTTCTCAGTAAAATAATTTAAACACAGAGTTTCAACATGAATTTCGGAAAGGATATTCGACAGTGACTCAGCTAGTTACCGCAGTACATGAAAATTCCGCCTGTTTTGGATAAATCCGGCCAGATAGATTGTATTTCTCGACTTAATTCGGGCTTTCGATAGAGTACCACACGGGAGGTTGCTATATAAATAGAAAATTATTGGTCTTGACCTAGCCATATTAAAATGGATCGACTCGTATTTGCATATATGCTCACAGATGCTAGATGTGAATCTCTGGTACCTCAGGGAAGTGCCCGGGGGCCGCTATTGCTATTAATCGACGTGATATTACTTTTAGTTATGTCCCGATTGAAGCATGCGACTCTTTGCGGGCGATTTCGTATTATTTAAGAATATAACATGTACTGACGATGAAATTGAACTGTATACGAGTTTACATTATATACAGGACTGGTGCGGCCATTGAAAAGTGCCCTTAGATCTTGAAAAAACTCTCTCTTAGAATCACGAATACAAAAAAGCCTCTTTCTTTTCAGTGTGATACTAGGAATTATAATTTCGCTGAGTTAGGTCACTACAAGTATCTTGGGCTGACAATCGACAAGCGTTTAAACTGGTCAAGACAGATAGATAACATTACATCTGCTGCTTTAAGAAAGCTTGGTTATGTTAGGCACAAACTAAAGAATGCACCCATTAACGTGAAATTATTAGCCTACAATACCCCTGTGAAAACTAAACTATACAAGCATACTGTGGGATCCTTTTATTAAAAAAAGACTCAGATAAGCTTGAAAGTGTTCAAAGGCGGGCAGTTAGATTTATTTACAGTAAATTCTAGCGGTCCGTCTCTCGTTCTTCCCTGGTGCAAATGAATAACATTGCATTGCTGCAGGAAGGAAGGAATATAGCAAGGCTTAAGTTTCTGTTTGTTCTTGCAAATGGCAAGCCCTCTACTAATCGCAACGCTTATCTGAAACCCATCACCACTCGACAGACGAGATATCACCAGCCACATTTACTCACTCCTTACTTTTGTCGCACCAACCTTTTTTAATTTTCCTATTTTCCAAAGAATAATGTCTGGAATTTCCTTTGTATTGAGGAACAAACGTTCTCTTCTCATTTGTTTTTGTTGCATTTTTGTCTAAGATTGCGTGGTGTATTTTGTTTGTAATGCGGACAATATATTTTGTTTCATTAACTTCTGCTTGGATTGTCATGGTCTGCAGTATGTTATAAATAAATAAAAAAACTTCTGTTAAATTTGCTTTGTTTCTTTGGTTCTTATAGTGTCCACAACTGGCAAATGTTTCTTTGATTAACTTTAATTTTATACTTGATATGTGTGCTCTATACCCTTTTTCACCTTGCTTAGGTGAACAGATTTCGGTTTGTTTTAGTTACTCAGCCGCCGTGTATGTGCTCCAATATTTACTCATGTGTAGCGTTACATATAATAATTTTTTTTTGTCTTTACGATTTGTTACAAAAAAGTGAAAGCCGTTTACAACTCCCTGTAACATCGAATTAGAGCGCAGTTCTTGAGGAGGAGGAGGGAAGGGTACTGGAGGGGGGGTCAAGTGACCTGGGGGGTCACGTGACCTTGGGGGGTCACGTGACGATGCCGATGATGCCATCAGCGACGTCACTGATGACGTCATCAGTGACGATGACTATGCGGATTCCAATGACGTCATCAGTGGCGCCACTGATGACGTCATGGGAATGCCGGTGACGTCATCAGTGACATCACTGATGACGTCATCAGTGATGATGGCGATGACGATGCGGATGCCGGGGACGTCATCAGTGATGATGACCATGACGATGCGGATGCCGGTGACGTCATCAGTGACGTCACTGGTGACGTCATCAGTGATGATGATGATGGCGATGCGGGTGCCGGTGACGTCATCAGTGACGATGACGTCATCGGGGAGGTCACGTGACCTCGGCGGGGGGGGGGTCACGTGACCTGGGAGGGTGTCACGTGACCTCGGGCGGGGGTTGTCACGTGACTTGGGGAAGGGGTCACGTGACCTTGGGATGACCTTGGGGGGTCACGAGATTTTGGAATGACCTTGGTTACGCCGACGCCGACGCCGCTCAAGCCGGGAACGGGCCCCTAAGAGCTGCGCTCTAAAAAATACAGGAGGACACTCAAGACTGCTTAAGAACGCGTAATACAGCGGGTGAAATGTTTTCGAGTAATGTAGTGCAGTACTGCAGGGCCTGGGGCGAAGTGGGCCACCGACAGGACGTCTGCCCGCACCCGGACACAAACCAGTGTCCGAGATGCGGGGAAAAGGTGACCCCGGAGGGCCGCGAATGTCAACGCAGGTGCAAGATATGTGACCAGTCATATGAGACGGCGAGCAAGGAGTGTAAAAGAAGCCTCAAGCTTGACCCCCTCCTCTACACGTGAGAGAGAAGAACGCCAGTGGAAACCAACAAGTGACGTGGAACGCCGACACCGGGCAAAAGGCGCACGAAGCAGGGGCATCAACGCTGGAGAGGGGTCGAGGAAGCCGGCTGCGATGGGTTGACCACACGACTGGAAGAAAAGACGATTTCCCACAGCTGTAAAGAGGGCGAGGGAACAAATACGATAAGAACTGTGAGAAAATGATTGAGAAACTCAAAAGACAGAATGGGGAATTACTTAGGCGGCTGGATGAGATCGAGAGAAGAGCTGAGGCGAGAGAGCAGGAATTAAAGAGGAAGCTGCAGTAACTGATAGATAAGATGCCCGGACAGTCGGTCCAAAGCCAACCAATGCAGCAGAAATAGCAGGATGCACGAGTATAGGTTGTGCACGGACCGGAGGAGACGATCTCCGCGGGGTCTGGCGATAGTGAGTCGGCATCACCACCACTGAAGCGGAGGGCGCGCGTTCCGGCGCGAGCGAGAAGAGAGGCGCGCGAGGCAAAACCCGTTAGCGGGGACGAAGAGAGCTTCGTGACGAAAAACATGTTGAAGAGCGCGATCACGGTGTGCATGGAGAGGATGTTGACCGTGTTGCAGAGCCGCTGCTCTAGACTGGCACAAGGCACGCCAGACCCGTTCGACGCCTGGGCGCACTACACAAGAGTCACGGGGAACATCACACGACCAGAGACTGAGGATATGATCAACGAAGATGGATCGGAGCCGTAGTAAGTACGTCATCTGGCAGTGGAACTGGCTTGGTTAACGCAAGAAGGGGGGAAATCTGCAGCAGTACGTTAGCACCAAAAAAGGAAAGAGCACACCCGACGTTGTCGCCGTCCAGGAGGGTGGGGCATGGCCAAGCTCTCCGGCTACAGGGCATACGGTAAGGATGCCAAGGAGAAGACACGGGTCGCGACGCTAGTCAGAACAAACCTACCCGTCATCGAGCACGACACCGGGATCTGGACGGTGAACCAGGTGTTGATCGAGATCATGTCCAACACGAAGAGGGACGGGCGCAGCGTCTTTGCGCTCAACGTCTACAGCAGCTCCGCCAAGCGTCACAGGTTCGACGGACTCTTCCGGGCGACTCTGGAGATCACAAAGCAGCAGGCCCTCGTGGTGGTCGGTGACTTCAACGCGCCGCACCCGGACTGGGGGTACCTGACGTAGACTGTGAAAGGCAGGAACCTCTGGCATGACGCCCATGACGGTGGACTGACTCTGATTACTGACCCAGATCAACCCACCAGGAGGGGAGATGCAAGGCACAAGGACACCACGCCAGACCTAGCATTCCTCCGGTATGTGAAAGGACCGGAGTGGATCAACACATGGGGGAAGATCTGGGCAGCGACCATTTCGTGGCGGCGGCGACGGTCATAGCCGGCCCGGGGAAACCGAAGGGCAGGATTAGGATTAGGATTACGGAGTGGGACGCCTTCAGAGGATATCTAGAATAATTTGAGAAAGAGGACATTGAGAACATCGAATGAGTGGACGGAAGAGGTAAGGGCCTGCGCCGAGTACGCGACCAAGACCGTGAAAGAGGAGGCGAACGTGCTGACTGCAGACAGCAAGGTCCTGCACATGTGGGAGGCCAAGTCCAGCATGCAGAGGAGGTTGAGGATCCAGAGACACAAGCACAACGTTCGGCGTAAGATCGCCAAGTAAAGTAATGAGATTGAAGCCCATGCCAACAAGATCACCGGACTGGAGTGGCGAGACTCCTGCGACGGCTTCGAC